TATGAAACTGGTGGGTTCGGTACCTCAAAAAAGGTTAAGAACCACCGTTCCATGTGTTTGTTTTGTATTACTAGTCCTCTGTTAAGCTGTTGTGCTTATTTGATCACATTTTGTATACCTGAAATAACTACACAGATACAGGAAATTACATGATCGTCCACCTTTCTGGCAATAAAATAATGGGCACAGTCTGTGATTTGTCACCAGGATACACTTCTGAATCTACCATGGGATAATATAAGAGAGAAATATGTTTATAGAGTCCTAGGAGGAAAATGTAGCTACTGCCATCTAAAAATACATTTTTAGATGAGATTGTTTATCAGCAAGCTAATAAAGTATATTTTTTCCTACTGCAGCATGCTCTAAGTAATAGTCAGTGTGCTCCATTTAGTYAAGACCGGTGATCAAGTGAAATCACTTGGTGAAACAAACGAAACAATAAGTGAGGCCACCAACTCTGCTAAAACTTATTTTTATCCACCAACCAACCCAACGTTCTTATGTACCAGTGCCTCAATGTGGCTCCTSTCGAACCAACAGTGTTTAGAAAAAGAAGGCAAAATAAAGCTGCAAATGTTGCAAATTACCAACATAAATTRACATTTATTTAYGAAAACACACATTTTGTWTTTTATTTTTGCAAATTCCTAATTCAGTCTGGTAATGGTTGTATTCTCTTAGGCTCTTATTTTGGAGTGCTGGTATACGTGTTCTTGGGCCAAGATCTATTTTTAGACCGCACAGGTGATCAAGGGGATTGTGGCAAATTTTTATTTGGGTCGACTTTTAAGGTCACTTGCGCTCACACACCACACATAATCGGAAAAAAAAAGTGTGATTCTGTTCTGCCAAAAGAAAAAATGTGCCAGGCTTCATTTGTTACGCCTACTATACAAAATTACACAAGTTTGTTTTTAGCTTGGCTACTTAATTGGTTTCAAAAGGAATATAGCCGAATTGAACAGAAATGTAAGTTGCATTGTTTTRGGTATGACACCTATTTTAGTTTAAATGTTGGTTTTCAAAGAGTTCAGTTTGTTGGAGTCTAGGAACAGTGGTGTATTGTGCATGTTAATCACAGCTAAAACACACATGCTGTATAATTAAATTAATTCAACATGCAAACYAGATGCAATTTCTGTCTTTCATTTAGTTGTCAGGCATGAATTAGCCATAAAGAAAAAGACAAAAACATGCAGATGAGTCAGGGTTCACATATTGTGTTTGGGATTATGCAATAATTAATGTTAGGTTGAAACTCTGAAACTTTTATCTGACAACTTAATTGTTACATTCAACTCTGTGGTTTCATTTTTAACTGTATAAAATGTGATTATTTTACTGTTAGATTCATACACATTTTTTTTCATTATTATCTTTTTTGTACTTGGGTGTCCTGAAAAGCGCTTTATAAACAACATGCACCATCATATAC